AAGATTCAACTGTGAAGACAGCAGTTCTCCCAAAGCGATCTATGGATTGAATGGAGTCATTTCATAATCCCAGTTCACTTCTTTGCAGAAACTGACAAGCTGATCTTAGAATTCACATGGACTTGCTGGGGATCCAGAATGGATCTAAGACACTCTGTAAAAAGAAGGTGGCATGGTGGATACGGCACTGAGTACCCACAAGGGCAACCACAGTTCAAGTCTCAGACCTGGAGGCTTGAAACTCACACTGGGCACAGGTGTGTGTATACCCAAGATACCAGGAGTATGGAGGAGAAGGGACTGTGGATGATCATACTCCCCAGGGATTGACTCCTCATTTCCCTCCATCTCTCTCTGTCTCTCTCTATTGAGCACACGTACCCAATGGCAAAAACTTAAAAAGGAAAGACAAAGGTGGAGGACTTGAGCTCTGACCTGACTTCAGAACTTACTTTGAAACTTACGGAAATCAGGTGTGAGCGGCGCTGGCATAGGGCAGAGACAGATCCGTTGAACAGAGCTGAGCATACCCAGAGAAAGCACACACCTCTATGGGCCTGATTCAGACCAGGGTGCCAAGACCATTTAAGAGCAGAAAAATACAACGGTACTGGGACAAATGGATTGCCACATGCCAGAATATTAAGATAGATTTCTTACATAGCATATACAAAAATGAACTCTAAATATATCAAAGAACAAATATAGGCACTAAAACCAAAAAACTATATTTTAGAATTATTTATTTGATTTTATTTATATATTTTTAAAATTTGCTATCGGGCACATGCACTCACCAGAGAGAGACAGAGAGAAAGAAGGAAAATGAGAAAGCAAGCTGCCAAGACTCAGTCCAGGACTCGAACCACAGTTGGCTATGTGGGAGTCCAGCACCTTAATCACCACGCCACCTGCTTGCCCCAAAACTACAAAACTTTTAGGAGAAAACATGGAGATGAATCTTTATGACCTTGGAATTGGTGCAGAATTCTTAGATATGACAATAAAAGCACAAACGCCGCCATTACCACCAAGAACAACAGAAACAGGTAAGTTGGACTTCATCCAATTAAAGACTTTTTTCTTCAAAGGACACCATCACAAAAGTAAAAACATGACCCACAGAAGAGAGCATATTTACAAATTGCATATCTGCTAACAGGCTTACATCTAGAATGTATACAGTACTTTAACCGCTCAACAATAAAACAAACAAACAAAACAATGGGCAAAGGATCTGAACACTCACTCCTCCAGGGACGACACACGAAGGCTCACAAACACAGAGAAGATGTTCAGCATCTTTAGTCCTTTGAGAAATGCAAATCAGAATACAGCGAGATACCATTTCACACCCACTAGGGTGGCCAGAATTAGAGAGTCCGATGACAGCACATACTGGTGAGGGTGAGAAGAGACTGGAACCCTAAAACACAGCTGGCAGGAATTAAACAATAGAGCTACCAATGAGAAGAGTCCGGCCGGTCCTCGAACAGACCATCCACTGACACACACTCTGCCAGACCCAGACGCTGCCCTAAGAGACGAAAACACACCTACACTGACACTCGTACAAGGGTGCTTACGGGAGATTATTCAGAGGGCCAAAGGCTAGAAATATAAACGTCCCTCTTCTGACTACATCAACAGACTGTGGCCTGGCCTGCAATGGAATATCATTCAGCCACAGAAAGGAATGAAGCTCTGACATCTACGAGTGGACGGACCTAGAAAACATTCTGCAAGTGAAAGGAGCCAGTCGCACACTGCAGCCCGCCTCTATGAAGTGCCCAGGGTGAGCGAATAGGGAGAGACAGAAAGATTAGGCATTACCTCTCAGGTTGCAGGGAGGGAATGGGAAGATGGTGATGACACGTGAAGGCCATGGAGTTTCTTTGGGGTGATGGCCTGCTTAAAACTGACCGCTGATAGTGAGCCCATCTGGAACCACGCTAAACCCACTGAACTGTGTGCTGTCCGCGGGTGGGGTGCACGGCATAGGAACTGCGTCCCGGCACAGGTGCAAGGGCTGAACGAGGACACTGCAGGGGAGGCACCTTACCACAGAGGAGCAATTGGCAATCATGCAGGTGAGAAGGGAGCGTGCAGCCAGAGGGTGGCGCGGAGGTAAGCCACCCTGCTCCGTGAGGCAGTCCCACGTGAGAAGGCTCCCAGGACAAGGCCTGAGCCCTCCCGGAGTGCACTGGGCCCAGGCATGGCATGGCCCTGGCGAGCTGCAGCTGGGGCTGACAGCGTTGAGACTCTATGGCCTGTTTCTCTCTCTGAGGAACTAAATACATTTTTAAAAGCGGGGTGAAACAAAGTGTCAAAACAAGCAAACCAGAACTGTGTGTCCAGTGACACTGTCCTTCTGTCCTTCGCAGGTGAAGGGGAACTGAAAACAGCCTGACAAGTAGGACTATGCCTAGCCTGTGAGAAGTCTCCATCACCACCGCTCCTTTCTTACTGGCAGCTGGTACGCCTTGCACCCTCCCTGCCCTGCCCCTGCACTCACGAAGAAAAAGGGTGCAGGGCAATGGGGTCAGGAGTGCCCTAGAGAACGGCCCATGAGCCAAAGGTTCAGTGAGAGAAGTGGCAGGAGAACTCCTAGCAGGTGCCAGGCACACCCACAGGAGAAAGGTCACCAACGCGGGCCCACAGGAGATGCTGACAGAGGCAGGAGAGGAAACCCCTCTTCGGGGAGCGCTGAGATTGCTGGTGGGGTTACAGCACAGTCCCCTAGGACAGCTGGCTGCAGCCAGGATGGGCCGGCCCTCGGCTCCCTCGGCTCCCGCACCTGCCGGGCCCCACCTGGGAAAGGTCCGGCTCCGCAACTCCTTGATGAAGAGCTGACTGCCATTCTGCACAGGCTTGACATCGGGCACCTGCCCCGGGCCATGTTTGTGCCAGGTCCGCTTCTTCTTCACTGCAGGGAGACAGAGGAGGGGTTCATCACCGAGCCGGCCCCAGCCCCATCTCCTGGGCCCCTCTCCCTACTGCCATGCAGGACAGGACCCAGCCAGGCACCAAGGAGGACACTGGGGAGCCCGTGCAGCCACACTCCAAAGCCCTCCAGGACCCTGGCCTACCCTCCTCCTGACATCTCTCCAGCATAGCCTAGCTCAGCCTCGTGCCCTCACCCCAGCTCATATACACAGCCAGGCACGCCCACTCACACATGTGCTCCTGAGCACATGGTAAGACGTGTGCCCCCTCCCTAGCTTAGGGCCCTGTCCCCACACCTCCCATGGCACCACTGTCCCCTGCTCTCTGACCCCTCATTCAGGCACCATGTCTGCTGAGGCCACGCAGAGGCACTTCCTGCAGAGGTCCGCGGCCAAGGCTTGGCCTCACCATCCCATGGCTGGATGGTGCTGCCTGCCTGGTCTCCCGCCACCACTTTCCTGCTGGGGCCTCTGCTGCCCTGACAGCTGTGGGTGGGGCCGGACCTTCTCTTCTCCACCTCCCCAGTGAGAGCGCACCTGCTGCCCTCTGTGCCAGCCCCCCTGGCCCTGTCACCCAGGGCGTATTTCCACCAGCCTCTCTGCCCTCCCACACCTCTTCTCAGGGCACTGGGCACGCACACCTCAGGCACGTTACATGTGTATGTGCACACACACAGACAAACGCACAGACACACACACACGCCTACTAGACCGCATACCAAGTGATATATGTGCACAAATGCAAGCACATATGCATACACACGCAAGCACACACACCCTTCAGACCTGCAAGTCCTGTGTACACGGTGCACACACAGGCACTCATGTGCACACACTCACATGGATGGCCGAGGGGAGGGTGGCTCCACATGGAGACACTGGGTTGGGTGAGTGGCCCTGGCAGGCAGGTGCTCTCCTGGGAGCTACTCAGCTAGTGACCAAGGTGGATCCTTGGGAGGGAAGGAGCCTGCCCATGGAGCAGAGCTGGACGGGGCCGTGTGGGGTCTGCCCTCAGCAGGGTGGGGCGGGGACTGTGTCCTCGAGAATCCATATGTCACCATCTTCGCGATGGTGGGAACTCTGGGGACAAAGGGAGCTTGTGACAGCATGGTGACAATGACTGACCCTGAGCAGCCCAGGCGGGGGCTGAGAACCTGTCTGCTATGAGCCTGCACGCTGTGCCTGGTCTCCCTGTCTACAATGTGACTGGACATGACAGACATTTGACAAGATCCCGCAGAGTCAGGACCAGAAGCTGACAGCACTGCTCAACAGAGTGGGCGATGAGGGCCAGGGTCTTGTCCAGCTGTGCTCTAGCTGTGTGACCTTGGGCAACTTCCTTGACATCTCTGTGCCTTATCCTTCATAGAGAGATATTGGGATACAAGTCACCACATGCACAGCCCTGCCTGAGCCGGGCGGCCCTGGGGTCACGCGTGGCCTGACTGCCCCCCTTCGTCCGCTGTCCCACTTTGCAAGGTGCCACCAAGGAGCTCAGCAATGTTTGGGGCTGGGGCCACTGAGGCAGGAGTCACCCAAGTGGCAGCTGTCTGGGAGTCCCTGCTTCTTAAAAAGCTCAGCTCTGGGCCAAGGGTATACCAGCCCACCGAGGAGGACTGGGACCAAGGCCCAGCACAGGCCACTCGGGGACTGAGACAGCAGTAGGTAGCAGTGCCTGCAGCTGGGAAAGGCCCAGGGGAGGGCCAGAAACAGCTGAGAAACACAAGTGGCTTCAGTGTGCTGTGGGGGTCACAGGACGGTGCAGGAGGACTAGTACATGCCACAGGGAAGAGCCTGTGAGGTCCCCTCAAGGTCGGCAGTGTGGGGGTAGCCCTGTCCCTAGGGTCCTGTCAAGCCCAGCTCATGTCTGAGGACACTCACCATGGCCAGACCGTCAGGGCTGTACCAGCTTCCCCATCCTCTCCCAGAGGGCAGGGTCCCACTTTACAGAGGAAAACACTGAGGCTGGGGTAAGGAGCCATGCCAGGGTCTCCACAGAAGGGGCACAGAGCAGCCAGATTTCCGCTGACTCCTCCTGCTAACACCCAGCATGGGGTGCGTGCCTTGCCCTGCAGGCCACGTGGAAGCCTTCCAGAGCGCACATGTACGTCACAGTGATGGTGGCCAGGAGGGGAGAGCGGCTCCCAGTGTCCACCCTGGAGGCTCAAACCTCAAGGCACACTGACCAAGTGCCTACCTGAAGGGCTCAGTGCCCCGTGACGTGGCTGCCCCATGTGGGGACACCAGCAGTGCCAGCAGCCATCAGGCAGAGTTGGGGCTGGGCTGGGTAGGGGCTCCTCTGGAAAGTCACTGGTGGGGACTCCATCCCCAACCCAGGGCCTGAAAACAGCCCTGTCCAAGCCTAGATGCTGAGTATCTTCCTGCCTGGGGCTCCTGGTGTCCCTGGGGAACAATGTGCCTTAGGGAGACAGCCCCCAGTAGGGTGGCCCAGGGCACAGGGCAGTGCAGGTCCCCAAGGTGAGCCTGGCACCAGAGCCCTTGGTCACCTCTCGGAGAGGCTGAAGACCACACCAGGGACTCGGCTTCTCCCCCCAGCCCTGCAGGACATGCAGTTATGGCCTCGTGGGCTGAGGAAGGGAGGTGATGTCGTGTCGGTCACAGGCTGGGTGCAGAGCCGAGTGCCCAGCAGGAGCCCTGCGGCCATTGCACCAGAACCGTGTCAGTCAGGTAAGCCCAGGGCTGTGCTTCAGCCTGCAGGTTAGCCGGACTCAGTTCAAGAGACATGTTGGAAAGGCACATCGATCCCCACCGTCACATTTCCCTGAGATAGACAGAGTGAGGACGGCACAGCTGCCCGTCTGCAAAGCCCTCCGGGTGCACGCAGCAAGGAGCAGGGCAGGAAAGGTGCGAGCAGGCTGGGCCAAGGAGGGCCTCCTGTCACCAAGGTGCCTCGGTGTGGGAGGTGTGACTGGGGTCAATGGTGTGAAAACCAACAGCGGTGTCACAGACAGTGTGGCTCCAGCTCAGACCCCAGTCAACTCTGAAGGTACGCACAGGCATAAGGAACACTGTCTCTGACGGGCCGCACGCCCCGCGATAATGGCTAGAAACTGCAGCACTCACACAGCAGCCAGCACACACACATGCCCGTACTCACAGGTGCACACACATGTGCACGTACTCACAGGTGCACATGCAGGACATGCAGTTATGGCCTCGTGGGCTGAGGAAGGGAGGTGATGTCGTGTCGGTCACAGGCTGGGTGCAGAGCCGAGTGCCCAGCAGGAGCCCTGCGGCCATTGCACCAGAACCGTGTCAGTCAGGTAAGCCCAGGGCTGTGCTTCAGCCTGCAGGTTAGCCGGACTCAGTTCAAGAGACATGTTGGAAAGGCACATCGATCCCCACCGTCACATTTCCCTGAGATAGACAGAGTGAGGACGGCACAGCTGCCCGTCTGCAAAGCCCTCCGGGTGCACGCAGCAAGGAGCAGGGCAGGAAAGGTGCGAGCAGGCTGGGCCAAGGAGGGCCTCCTGTCACCAAGGTGCCTCGGTGTGGGAGGTGTGACTGGGGTCAATGGTGTGAAAACCAACAGCGGTGTCACAGACAGTGTGGCTCCAGCTCAGACCCCAGTCAACTCTGAAGGTACGCACAGGCATAAGGAACACTGTCTCTGACGGGCCGCACGCCCCGCGATAATGGCTAGAAACCGCAGCACTCACACAGCAGCCAGCACACACACATGCCCGTACTCACAGGTGCACACACACATGCCCGTACTCACAGGTGCACACACAGACATACGCACAGGTGCACATACACATGCACGCACGCACAGGTGCACATACACATGTGTGTAATCACAGATGCACACGTGTACACACAGGTGCACACACATGCATGCATGCACAGGTACACACATGTGTGTAATCACAGGTACACACGTATGCACAGTTGCACACATGTATGCACAGTTGCACACACATGCACATACTCAAGGTGTACACGCACGCACATAAGCACAGGTGCACAGCACACACACATGCACGTACTCAAGGTGCACACACACACACGTGCACGTAACCACAAGTGCACACACGTACACATGCACAGTTGCACACACGTGCACACACACAGGTGTGCACACACGTGCACATACTCACAGGAGCACACACACATACACACGCACAGTTGCACACACAAGCACATATGCAGAGGTGGTAAAGGGCAGGCCCCCAGGGCAGGCCATTCCCACAAGGAAAGGCGGTGGGCGAGTCAGGAAACGTGTCTACACCTCCTAGGTGGGAGCGGGAGGTGCGAGGACAGCTGGCCATCAGAGTGGAGCGGAGCAACCTTTTCAAGTCCCCCTCTTTGTCCCCCTCTTGTTGCTGAGGAGATGGCTGGCAGGGGAGGGGAGGGGAGGAGGTAAGGTCTGGGGAAGTGACAAAGTCGGGAGGGCAAAGCCTCATGGAGATCAGTGTCCTGGCAAGAGACCCCCACTGCCTCACCCTCCACAACGGGAGAAGACAGCGGAAGAGCACGTCTGAGAACAGGGAAAGGGTCCTCGCAGGTCCTAAACCCAGGCACTGGGACCTCAGACCTACAGGTTCCAATGCCAAGAGAAATGCATTTTCTGTTTTTGCCCTCCAGCTTGTGCCATCGGTTACCGCAGCCCAAGAGACTAAGACACACACACAGAAATACACATGAACATACAAGCACACATGCATGCACATGTGTGTGCACAGCCAGGATGGGGATGGGGTTTCCGCCAGGACCCGCCAGTGAGCATCAGAAAGGGAGGCAGAGCTCATGGTTGCACAAGGCACTGGTGGGGTGCTGGGCTTCTGCCCAAACTCCCCTACACACGGCAGGGTCGGGGAGGGGCGGGCACCGCGCCTCCCAAGGCAGATAGGCTTCTGTCTCGAGTGGAGAGTGCTTCTGGGGATGCGCAGGGTCGCTGCAGAAGGGACAGCCGTGTGCTCACCAGTTCGCAGCCTGCTCAGCCCCAGCCCCAACTCGGGGGCTCAAGCGCTCCCAAAGACCAGTCTGAACATGTGCTGACTGCCAGGGAGAGGTCCCCTCCCTGCAAGTGTGGGACCTGTGCTGCATACGTGTCTGTGTGACACCAACCACACATGAGGTGCCACCCAATGTCCTTCTGAGCAACCCCATCTGAGCGCCTGAGTGGGTCCTGCCCCCGCAGGAGAAGCAGCTCCTGGCACTCCTGGCTCCAGCCCTGCTCTGCCCAGGCACCTGCCTCGGTCCAGGCCCAGCTGCTGCAGCCCTGGTCCCAGCAACCTGGCCTGCATTCCTCGTTCCTGCCATAAAGACAACGGGGCCTGAGCTTCCCAGTGGGTTCCGTGAAGCGCCAGGTTCACCTGCCACAGGGATGATCCCATCTTATCTGCTCTGAGGCCGTAGCCAGGAGGCTGGGTAAGGAGCTGCCACCAGACCCACTCTGAGCATAAACACCACCAGCTCCTGGGGGTGGGGCCTGCACACAATTCAGGAATTCCGGCACTTCCCCTCTTTACCAGGGGCTGGGACCTGCCATCACCTAGGGATGGACAAAGCACAGGCCAGGCACACAGCCCTCGGACCCTAGGAGAGGATGAGGAACAACAGCAGGTCCCAGATGGAGAGACACCTGCCTCGCGCCAAGCCCAGCTTCACGAGGTGCCGGCCTGGCCCCCCCAGAGCCCCTCCACCCTTGACCCAGCCTCAGCTCACAGAATGGGGGCCCAGTGGGGCTTCCTCCCATTGCCCGAGTCTTCCCTCGAGCCCCACTGGGTGCAGGACTCATCCCTCAGGGGCTGTGGGATCTGGACCCTTGCCTTCCAACTGTGGTCCAGGAGAGGGCTTCCTGTGGAGGGGAGTGGCTGCC